CCTGTAGAGAAACTGAAAAGAAAGATGATGAAGGGCAAAGGAAATGTCATAAATCTGTTGAACTTTGAGGGGCAGTCCTTTTGGGCTTGTCTAGGACAGAATGTGGTTCTGTAGCATCCTGGTACTCCATTCACTCTCTACTTCGGCTTCCTTTCACATTTATTCATCTTGTTGTAAGAACTTAAATGTTTCCTTTAAATTTGCCTACATAATTTTGATTTGGAATACTGACACCACATAGGCTTTTGAGTTCTTTGAAAATGTTAAAACGTTGCTCTTTATCTTTCATTTTAAACTACTGTCTGATCTTTGAAGTCCTATTCTTATGACATCATTCATGGTGTTGACTCAGGCAGTTCAGACTTTCTTGGTGAATTAAACGTTTACCTAAAATGTTTCATTTATTGTGATCTGGGACATGCTGGTTTCCAATTATTATTTATAATATTATTATTACATATGTATACTGTCTAAAGGCTTCCTATCAAACGCTCTACAGTCTGGGCAGAAGGATTGCGGGTGCCGGGATGTGGAGGCAGAAACTTTTAAAAATCATTTCTTATTGATTTTCTTGGAATACTTTTATTATATAACTTAGTACATATTTGATGAGTGTGAAATAGTATCTGAAATATGAGTCATCAGGGTGGTGTAGCCATAGAGCCATGGGGCTTCAGAGGAGGACAGTTGTGTTCAACTAGAGGGGACAAAGAAAGGCTTCAGGAAAAGGTGAGATTTTATACTAGCTCTCACGTATGATGAAAACATGGACAAGCAGAGACGCAGGGAAATCTAGTCCGGGAGAGAAAATGCCTGAAGGTCGGGAGGGGCCAGTAATGGAAGCCACAGCAGGTCCCCTGGCTGGAGTGTGGGGAGTGGAAGAGAGTGGCTGCAGTGTGAAAGGTCCCTGGGGAAACTTAAAACGGAGGGGTCAGGCTAACATCACCTGAACCTCCTAATCAATGTCCATATCCCTGCAAGTAGGACAACCACCTGTAACATATTCTTGCATGAAAAAAAAAACAAAAAAAAAAACCTAACTGGATCTTGAGATCTAAATAGCAGATGAGGGACTTCCCTGGTGGCATAGTGGTTGACTGTGCTCCCAATGCAGGGGGCCTGGGTTTTATCCCCGGTCAGAGGACTAGATCCCACATACATGCCGCAACTAAGAAGCTGGCGAGCTGCAACTAAGGAGCCTGCCTGCCGCTACTAAGACTCAGTGCAACCAAATAAATAGGTAAATATTTAAAAAAATAATAATAAAATAAGTAAATAGCAGTTGATGGAAAACCTGGGCAACAGGAGCATTTGACTGATACCGTGAGGATACACTCAGCCAAATACAGAATGTGAGAAGTTCTACAGGACAAAGGAATGAATTTCTTCAATAAATACATGGCATGAAAAAAAAAAAGGATAAAGAGGGAATTGTTATAGATTTAAAGAGGCTTATTAAAAGACCTACCAGCCAAATCAAGGTGTGGACCTAAATCGAGTAAACCATCTGTATAAAGAAATTTTTTGAGAGAATCTGGGGAAATGAGATACAGACTGGGTATTAGATAAGGAATTATTCATGTTTGGGGTGTGAAACTGGTATATATATATATATATATATATATATATATATATATATATTCTTATCTGTTAGAGATACAGCATGAAATATTTACAGTAGAAATGATAAAATGTCTGCAATTTGCTTTCAAGTATTCCAGCAAAAACAAACAAGCAAACAATAAAAAGCAAGAGTTGGAGAGGAGTGGGAAAGAGGAGACAAGAAGAGCGGAGACCTGATGACTTTTAAGCTGAGGGGTGAGCCCACAGGTGCCCATTTTACTCTTCTATGGCTATGCCTTTGACTGTGTTTGACATTTTCCATGAGAAAATGTGTTAAGGCCAGTCTAAGGAGTTTGGACTTTATTGTGTAGCACCAGGAAACTTGTGCAGGGTTTTGGGCTGATGAGGAGGGCATGGGGAAGGTTATGAGTGATCCAGAAAGGTTACCCCGGTAACTGAGTGTGACATGGTGGGGTGCGGGGGGAGGACTTGAAATGGGAGCCCATTTAAGACCTTGATTAAGATGGTGGCCTGAGAATGGGAACTTTTTTGAGAACAGAAAGAGGAAATAATGGCAAAAGAGGAACTCTTCAGTGGGTTGGCAGTACAGAAATGAATCAGCTTCATGAGGGGAAAAAATCCCCTCTTCCTCGTCAATCAGTAGCAATTTTTGTCCTTAAGCCACTGCGCTGGGTACTGTGGGACCAGGGGGAGAAGGAAAAGGGGTCTTTGTTGAGGAGGAACTGACCCAGGTCTTTGTAACTAGCCACAGTGGAAAGCAGTGGGGAAGCAAAGAGTTCTCAAGTTCTTTTTGTTTATGTTTTTGTTTTTGCTTCTTGCTGTTTTTCACAAGGGAATTACTCTCTTATGGTTTCAGTATGAAACTTACAGACACAGTGATTCATTTTGATCACCTTTCTCTATTTTCATTGGGGAAACGGCGATAATCTTTGTCAGCTGTTCTACCTGAACCATTTATGATATTAATTAAGATAGAGGTAATATTGTTCATTCGTGAAATGGAACACTTTAGAAGAATGTATGTGATGAAATGATATGGTCCGGGGAAACAAAAGTTGAACTATAGTAAATTAACGAAAGCTTAGATTTAAGTATATAACTTCTGATTTGTCAGTAGCAAAAATATTCAAAATAAACTTCAGATTCAGTAGAAAGTAGCAGCTAGAGATTAAAGAGAAATGGTAGTTCTCCAGCCCTCTACGGTCAGATAATTAATACTTCACACACAACATATTAATAAGGTTTGAAATAAACAGGCCCTCCAGAAAGGAATACATGCTGAGAATAGTTTCCTGATCACATCTGTTCTCTTCTTTTCCAAGAAATTACACTACAAACTGCAGCCTATAAGGATGGGCCATTTCCTATGATTAACACCCCTCTGGGCTGAGCCGAGGTGGGGAGAAAATATTGAAACACAGTGCATTCTTTACCTTATTCTGCAGCAAGAAGGTGGGGGAACTTTTGAGACTCCCTGTTAGACTTCTATTCAGTCCACCCAAGCTGGCATCTGCCACCCTAGCTTATACAGTCAGAAAGGAGTGAGGTTTGCTTCTGGCTTGGGTCCAATTATAGTTAGAATTTCTAATTCGTGGAAGCTGTTGTAAAAAGCTCTCAGGGAGGAAAGAAAAGGAGAGGAAAATTCCTAGCTAAAAGCAAGAGAGATGGTTTTTATTTTATTCGGGGATGCATGCCTGAGCTGTTAGGTCACAGGAGGGATGGGGATGGAGGGACGCGAGGTTATGGGTCTTATTATGGAAAAGGTTGAACTGTCATCGGCACCTGATGGAAATGAGAGGAGAGGCGGCCTCAGTGTCTCTAACAGCACTGCCTCTCTTACTGCATTATCAGAAAGGAAAACGGAGAATAGGCATCCATTATCTCTCTCTGCAAAGGGATTAGTGTGGGTTGCAAGAAATTAATGGCTTTTGAATTACCACAGAAATACTGATGAATGTCAGGAGCAGAGATGTAAAGCAGGTAAAACTGGCTTTCCTCTGCCGCATTTCTCTCATTTTCTCTTTTGGTTTGCTATCTGAAGATCTAAATCTGTGCTACTCTTTTTTTTTTTTTTTTTTTCTCCAGCCAAGATCAGAAATCGTACCCTTTGGGAATGTGATTTCTCTTCTTCAGGGAGTGACTCAATTAGTTTTTGACTGTCTCCGACGTGTGTCAGCAAAAAGATTGAGAAACATCTCAGAAATGAAAAGCTCTACTAGAGAGGAGAGCTCCCTCATTTTCATGCCTGTTGAAAGTATCAGGACATCTCCCAAGTGACAGTCCCCTTTTATTAAAGTATGAAATTTGTATCTGTTGCAGCTCATCACTGATTAAAGATGGCATGACCAGATGAACTTGTGAAACACAGGGGAAGAGAAGGGAAGAGAATTATACCTATTATATGCTGGACATTACAGTAGAAGCTTTATTTCTATTCTAATTCAACAAGTACTTACTAAGTACCTACTGTGTACCAGGCATTACACTATGTGCTGTGATATAAGGATGACAGGACAGGCCTTGCCCCTGTCCTCAGTGGAGCTTACAGACCAGTGGCGAAGACACACTTCTTTAAAAATTATAAATTATTTTTATAATTTAAAAATTATAAACTGTTTTATAATACAGACTGATGCGAGCCCATTAGAGAGGAATAATATAGTAGGGATCCCTGATACTGACCGAGGTATGTGTCTGTGCAGGCGAGGGAGTGGGGTTGGGAGAGTCGGGACAAACTCCCTTTCTGGAAGAGAGGATGGCTGAGTGAAGGGTAAGTGTGTCATAGCTGGTGGAACTGGTGGGAAAGGGGCATTGCAAGCAGAGGGAACAGCATAAACGGGCTCAGAGGTGAGAGGAACTGCTATCCAAGCAGAGATCTAAGAAGTGAGTAGTCGAGGCACGGCTGGAGCACTGGTTATGAGCCAGAAGGCTCATGGCCTGGCCTTGAAGACTGATGGGGGCATCTGAGAAACAGGAGTTTATGAGAAGTGCAGTGCACTTCATGCTCTGGTCCTTCCACTGGCCCTTCCTGGCTTTACCTACCTAAAGAAAGATGAGTATTAGCAGGGAGTTAGGTCAGGTGGCAGGAGGAACATTCTCTCTCTCGTATTTGGTACTCTGTAGAACGTCATCTAGAAAACAAGAAATCCTGGCAAAGCGCAATTGTTTCATGGGCCCACATGGCATAGTCCCAGTCATTCGGTGTTTCTGTTTTCCGAACAGACTTATGCATGTCACATTGACCATGAACCCCAAACACCCCCCTCCCCAGTACTTACTCTTGAGCCAGAAGGATGTCAACCCCTGATCTGTTTGGTTTCTGGCACCTGCCTTTTCATCTCATTCAGTTCATTCATATCAATGGATTAATGGATTAATATGTTGCTTCTTTTAATTTTTTCCCCCTTTCTTTCTAGAACACAAGGAGGCATTCCCAAACATTCTGAAAAAGGGTTACCTGGAGATTCGGAAGGACCATGACAGTTACTGGCAAAGCTGTTACGCAGAACTCTCCGCCTACAGCTTAGACTTCTATGGCCTCGACAGCAGTGGGAATCAAAACCTCTATGCAACGTACCAGCTGTCACACTTCCAGAGCATATCTGTTCTGGGCAACCTCGAGGCCAGGCTGGTGGATACTGTTCTGTATGACAACACTCAGCTGCAACTAAAGGCAGAGTCGCCACGGGAGGCTTTGGACTGGGGGCAGAAGCTTTGGGAGGGTGTGCATGCCGCCGTGCCTGCTCACATGGGACGGCCAGAGGAGCTGGCTGACTCACCGGGGCTCGGTCATCATGTCGACTGTCCACAGAATCGTTGTTTGCAGAAGAAATCCAGTGAGCTGCTCGTGCCATCCCCTGTCTTGGATAGCCCCAAAGAGTACCAAAACATCCTCAAATCGGGGACGCTGTACAGGCTGACCATCCAAAACAACTGGAAGGCATTTACGTTTGTCCTGAGCCCGGCCTACCTGATGGCTTTTCAGCCTGGCACGCTGGACGAGGATCCCCTGCTGAGCTACAATGTGGATGTGTGTCTGGCCGTCCAGATGGACAACCTGGATGACTGTGACTCTTGCTTTCAAGTCATTTTCCCCCAAGATGTCCTCCGCCTCCGTGCTGAGACCCGGCAGAGGGCCCAGGAGTGGATGGAGGCTCTGAAAACAGCTGCCAATGTGGCAAGGAGTTCAGAACAAAACCTGCAGGTCACGCTGAGGACCAAACCCAAGGATCAGATGGGTGGGCATGAACTCAGGAAGAACAAACGCCAGTCTGTGACCACCAGCTTCCTCAGCATCCTGACGACTTTGTCTTTGGAACGAGGACTCACTGCTCAGAGTTTCAAATGTGCAGGTATGAAACAAATTTTCAGCCTAAAGCTCATTGAAGAACAATCCTGAATCCCACAATTGGAATTCACTTTAAAAATCCCCTCAAGAGACCAGTCCTAGCTACCTCTTGTTTAAAAGGCATCTCTCCTTTAAGGAGTTTTTTGCTATGTTAAACCATCTGTCCGTCTTCATGCCGTGCTGGTGACGTTAAGCAGAAGCAGCTCTGATCTACCCACTGAGTCAGAATGACTTGGCTGAAGCATATGCCGGGCTAGAACTCAGGCTTCCTGAGTCTGCTGTGATGACATTTCCTTAGCCTTCTTAAATAAAGGGCACTGGGAATGTGGATGTCACAGATTGTCTCCTAAGAGACATTCAAGCCCAAAGCTGACTACTAGCACTCCTTAGGCGAGGAAGATGTCTGTAGTCAGTAACTGTCATTGATCACGACCTTGTCAAACCCTGTTAAGGTAGAATCCAGAAAGTCAGCCTTGACAGAAAACCTGGAGGTGGCTAAGAGCAGGGCTAAGATGATTCAGCAGATGACCTCTGAGTCACGATGGGCCGGTGCCTCATCCTGGGGAAGCCTGGGGCTACTGGAACTGCTGTGGAGGGTGAGATACAAGGTGGAGGCCAAGGCAGTCATCTGTTAGTTCTAAAAACCCTATATTAACTGCTTCTCTCCCCTACTCACCATTCCTCTCACCTTCCCCCAGACAGTAAACCGGAAAGAAAACAACCCGCACTAAACCAAGTCTATATATCTCCTGTAAATGAAATCAGGTTATTTCAGTAAACCCCACAATTTGTCACAAGAAATTTACCATGAAGGTAGCTTTAATTGGAAGCCTGATTTGGAAATTTTCAATTCAAGTGTATCAGATTTAAGTATGTTGTTTAGAAATGAACAGGAAACTCACCACCAGTCAAGACTAAATTTTCAATTTCGTGCTTGTTCCTGCATTGAAAAACCAAATAGTGGTGGCACAGTGAAACTTTGAATTTAAGTTAGTTATGATGATTGCCTTTACTACTGAAAAATAATTTACCCAAAGGGGAGATTAAGTGAATCATCCCTGCTTTGTCTGGAGGGCCTCGGTAACTGGGAAGCAGACACTTGCAGGGTGGGATAGGAGAGACCAGCAACCCTGAGCCAATAAAGAAGCTGTACTGGGCTTCCCTGGTGGCGCAGTGGTTAAGAGTCCGCCTGCCAATGCAGGGGATACGGGTTCGTGCCCCGGTCCGGGAAGATCCCACATGCCGCGGAGCGGCTGGGCCCGTGAGCCATGGCCGCTGAGCCTGCGCGTCCGGAGCCTGTGCTCTGCAACGGGAGAGGCCACAACAGTGAGAGGCCCGCGTACAGCAAAAAAAAAAAATTAAAAATAAATAAATAAATAAAATTAGCTTTTCAGATGCAAACTATTATATACAGAATTGATAAACAAGGCCCTACTGTATAACACAGGGAACTATTTAAAAAAATAAATAAAATTTAAAAATAAAATGTTTCATTTTGTAGTAGGATATTAAATTTAGGTAACACTATGACAGTTTAATGTAACAAGGTTAGAAAATAACATGGAAAGAAGTATAAAGTCTGAAAAAAAAAAAAAAAAAAAGAAGCTGTACTAGGTGAGGGCCGTATGTGTGCAGGCATGAGTGACCTTGTGTTAAGTCAGCCAGCTACTTTTGGAAAATGCTTTTGAACTAAGGAGATGCTGGTTTTAGCACAGTTTTTAGAAATTATTGACATTTCAGTGTCTTATTATACTAGTGCGTATATTATATTTCAAAGTTCAGCCATTCAACAGTAATTTATAAGTGCTTACTCTGTGGACATGCTGGAATTTTGGTACACTCCTGTGGCTTTAGACTGCTGAGAGGGGCAACAAATCTGCTTTGTTATTGGAATCAGGGAGAACAGCTCAGCTTAATTTTCAAGGTAGAGACCAGAGTATGAATCGGGAAACTTTCTAGTAAAAGAGGCAAGAAAAGCCTCAGGTGTTAGAAAAGATGGTCCCTTCGTTGGCTCCTACTTCACCTTCCTCTCCTAAGTTTGCTTCCTGATGGAGTGTGCCCTGCCCACATTCTGTACCACCTGAGTAGCATTTCTGACACTCAGAGGAAGGAGAGATGCAGGTAGAGGGTACCATTCCTCAGGTCCACCACATCTAGCAGATGGAGAAATTAAAACAGGAAAAAGCCATAGAAAGTTGAGTAGGAGAGACAGGGAGAAGGAAGCTAAGTGGAAAAGAGTAGGAAAAGGATCACATAATGGGCTGGGATAGAACTTGGGGCAGCTGCTTTAGGGTCCATGTTTTAGGATGCTGCCCTTTGCTGTGTGAATCAGGTGCTCACTGAATAGCTGGCTGGAGAATAGGGTGGGGATGGGTGGTAATAGGGAACCCAGGAGACAGGGGTAATGTAGTCTAAAACTCCTTTGCTGCTCAGCTTTTACCTTCATGCTTTGATTTGGAGTTCTAGTGGGGCACAGGTAGGTTTCTCATTTGGCATGGGGAGAAGTCAGTCCTAATTTGTACAGTGCGGCTGACTCTCAAGTAGAAATTTTTAATTTCACTTCAGTGCCCCCTCTTCCATCAGAAACTGCTACGCTCCGTTGCTTTGTGGTACACGTGGGTTATGGGTAAGCGCGCCTGGAATACCGGTTTCCTACCTCAGGTAGGAATACTTCATCTCCTGTAGGGGGCAGAGTCTCAAAAGAAAAATATCAAAACTTGGTAAGCAAACCTCTGAATGTTTTCTAAATTATCTGGGAGGCTGTTTATTATATCAAAGATTATTATAGCAGATGGAACTTTAAAAATTGATTTATGTTTCTCACAAACACAGTTAATCTAAACCAGCTGTTTATTCATTTAGTACTCGTGTCCCCTAACTTTTCATCCTCATAAAAACACACATTCAGTGAAAAACCTGGTTGTATAGCAACCCAAACTGTCAAAAAGTCCAGTAAATCGTTTTTAGTTGAATCTTGGCTTTATCATTTTAGGGAGAAGCTAATTCACAGTATTTCATGGTTTAAGTGAGCCTCTTTAGACTACAAGTATTTATGTCCACTTAGTCCCTCCCCCTTTAAATATTTTTGATGAATAAACTTTAAAAGTGGAAGATTGCACTGAGCAGCTCTTTATCATGATGTCATTCAGTTGCTATTTGGGGGAGCCACAAATGTTGGCTTTTAAATCTACAAAATAGTGCAGTTGGCCTCACTTCACTAAATTCTTTCTGTAGGTGAAGAATTTTCTATATCCTTTTTTGAAACTTAAAGAGCCCTTGCAGAGAAAATGGACTCTGACCATCCCCAAATGCCTGAGGTTATGGTTTTAAAAATACATGCTTTTGCATAACTGTGTATTTCTTAACATGTGCTTGAACTTTTTATAGTTGTATTTGATTATGTGTGGTTTGTTCCATGGCTTCCTCTCCAGATCCATGGCTGCCCTGTATTAGGAAACCCAGCTACAGTGGTCTTCTTGCTGTTCTGGAACCTACCTTGGTCATTCATGCCTCCAGGGCCTTTATATTTGCTGCTCCTTATTCCTGAGAACATGCCTTTGAAAATTAAGTTCTTCTTTTCATTCTACCATTTATCGTGAGCTGAGTTTCTGACCCCATGCCCCAAACTCAGGTGCACCTGGACGAGTCAGTGCTGCGAGAAAGCAAACGTGGTCCCTGTCCCTGCCTTCATGGAACTTGCAGTCCCCTGGGGAAAACAGACACTAATCAGATGCTCACATCACCAATGCCAAATGGCAACTGTGAGCTGGGCTGCGGAAGTTAGGTCCACAGGTCAGATTAGAGAGCTGTCAGAGGTGGTGCGGTACAAAAAAAAAGGGCAGTTTGATAAGGTTGAACTTCCTGTTTGACCCTGAAGTCCCAGAACGTTCCTGAGCAGAGGAGCACGTGAGGAAAGTGGTATTTAAGAACAATTAATTTGCTGGTGCTTTAGTACAGCTTTACAGAAACACGTCTGTAGCAGAAAATGAGGAATGCTTCTTTAATGAAGTCACTGGTTGGGATTCAAAATTATGTTCAGCAATGGGGCATCTGTAGTGTTAAAATATTAATGCTAAAACAAATGACTGTGCAGCTTATTAAAATATTTATGGGGTATATGTACCTGTAAGTGGTTCTAAATGAGGTTGTTCACAAAATGCTGTATAAATTCAATTATAAGGCAGTAGCCCGGTTTTCTTCTGGAATTAGACATGTGTACATATCTATTTCCCCTCAATGGATGCATGGTTTTCTTGGCACTAATACATACAGATTTTTTCCTCTAATTTCCCAACAAACAAGAAACCTAGCAATTGAGTATTGTGATAAAAGGGCCCAGGCCCTTTTTTATAGATGCTACAAGAGATGTAAAGCTCCGGTCTTGAAGTGTCTTACTGCTTTGTAATCTGAAGGTGAAATCGGACAGCCCACTGTGGGGCAGTGTTCCTGATTCTGAACTGAAATTGAAAATGTTAACGGAAGAGACAGCAGGAAAACAGTGAGCTGAGGGGATCCCCTCCACCATTTCACACTGTCAGTTTTTGTGGTTTTACTCCTTTGGCTGCTGTTTAACTTCTTGGGACTGCTGTTGGTAATTACATCTCTCTGGCATTCAGAGCATTTTGCTTTCCTTTTTTTCCCCCCAGCCCTTGGGAGGGGTAAGCCCAAGGGGACGGGGTGGGGTGGGGTGGGGGGAGTTTTGCTGTGAATTCTTCAGCCATTTAGTGCAAATTCCTGTAATTACCCGCATTGTGTCCTCTCTGAATGGCACATAATACAGCAGAAGCCATTCCTAATTGAGACCTTACAGGAGGTACAAATCCTCTCTTTGTTCAGCCTGACAAATTAGTGCCAGAAAGTGGCAGGGTCCGAGTGGGAATCAAAGGCAAGAAACACAAAGATGGAACTTAAGGCTACAGTAATAACCCTCTCTTGTCCTGAAGGGAGAAAAGGAATGACCAATGAAAAATGAAGTTTTTTTTGTTATAAATTCCCTTGACATGA